AGAGAATCCACACAAGCTGATCCCAAAGGAAACAATCCTTCAAGATTTTAAAGACAGGGCAGCTGTTTCAGATTTTCATCCAGTTAAGCAAATCGTTTTGGTAAGTGTTTAAGTGCAAAGCTGGAGCTAAAACGGCACCACATGTAATTCTATTATGCACGACCCCATAGGCTAGTTGAGCTGGAATTTTAGTGATCGTGTTAAGTAAAGGTGGTCTGGCTGTCTATATGGCAGGGTACCTTTAGCCTCACTTTGCTGACCTGGGCATATCCTGGATCAGTAATGGAAGTTTGAGGTTCACAGTTGCTGAACATAAGCTTGATATGTTTTAAGACAACCTATTTTAATCCATTTCATTTCATATGGAATTGATTGTTTTCAGTTAAATTTCTATCATCTCTCTCCTATTTTTACACAAAAAGGTAAAAAGATAAAATCTGCATTTGAGCCAAGTGGCCCATCAGGCTGGAGCTTATCCCGGGTTCTGTAGCATGAATCGACTAGCCATATTTCCACACCCCCCTGGGTGGGATTCTAATCCATCACAAGGTTACCTCCAGCATTTATTTCGCCAGTACCCGTTTATACTCCTGGGTGGAGAGAGGCACTGTGAGAGTAAAGTGTCTTGCCCAAGAACACAACACAATGTCCCCAGCCAGGGCTCGAACTCGAACTGCTGAATTGGGAGTCGTACCCTCTTACTCAACCATGAGGTCACCGTGCCTCCACACAGTTTTTTCATAAAAGGAGCTTAATATTATGCTGAAAGTTTTGGCTTTGAATTAAGACCTCCCATCCTCGCAGAATTTTCATTGACCTTCCATAGGGTGGATGTGGATATTTTCTGGAAGGCCACTGAATCAGGGATCCATATTCGCAGTTGTCCGGTCATCAGTGATGACTGAAAAATTATAAAGACAACCAAAACAATATGCAAACTTGTCTGCTGGACGAGTTAAGTTTGACTCTATTTTCTTTAATTTTCTTCTGAGTTTCATGCATTCTGTCCACTTGTTTTTCATTTGGAACTTTTAGAAAACAGAGAAAGATTAGCTGCTTTCTTTTGCGATAATATCATCAGTTTGGTCTGCCATCTTGGATGATGTGGTATTCTCAATGAATGAAATCATCACAGGCTCAATTTTCATCTTGTCAACTGCTGATGCTTTGTACTGCATCTGCATCTGCAAAACACATAGCGCGATGGCATGAGCTGTTTTGAACAGGATACGGTGTTTAGTATTTTTAACGTTTCTGAAAAACAAGCCAAATACCAGCAGGAAGAGCAAAAGCATTCCTTTCGTGACTGTCGATTGTCAAAGTGGCCTTGGTTTTCATTAGTACCTAGATTTTCTGTGCCTGCCGACTGCTACAACTATGGACAAGATGTTCTGGGAGACTGGTCACAGGAAAATAATAAAGTAAACTTTCCAATTACCTGAAGGTCACTGATCATCTCACCTGTACCTCAGCCAATGTCGTCTACTGCATAACTTGCACTCTTCGCAAAAAGTTATACATTGGCCAAACAGGGAGA